GAGGGCAGTGGGAAGGATCCAGAGCCAAAGAAGGCTAAGAAGAAGAACGCGAAAGAAAGCGGAGAAGAGGGCAGTGGGAAGGAGGAGCCGGAGGAGGACGATGAAGAGGAGGAGGACAAAGATGAGGGCAGTGAGAGCGATGAACTTGAAGAAGACGAGACATCAGGAAGCGAGACGCAGGAAGAAGATGAAGAAGATGATGAGGACGAAGAAGAGGGAGAGGGTGATGATGAAGGAGAAGGCGGCAGTGGAGACGAGGCCGATGCCCCGAGCGAAGAGGAGGAGGAAGCAAGAGAGAGTCAGGATGAAGGGGAGGAGGATGATGAAGACGATGAAAGTGATGCTGAAAAGCCAGAACTTGTAAAGGCTGTGAAGGATTCCAAGGATGCAGCAAAGAAGATGATGAGAAACAGCACTACCAACAAGAAGGAGTGGGACAAGTTCATCAGACAGTCTATGAACAAGAACCTCTTCCCACCACGGCTAGCTGCTGCTTTCGTCAAACAAAAGAATGAGCTTTTCAACATGTGGCTGGACACTGGGGAGGACTGGGATGCGGTTGCCTGCGAAGCAGAGCGCAAAAACCAAACCAGTACCCTCAACCGAAACCAGTGGCAAGCGGTGCAAGCCCGAGAAGTAATCCAGAAGTATGGCAAGGAGCGAGGTACTGAAATCATCGAGAAGCGGAAGGCGGCAAGCCTCTACTACCTGGACGAAGACTTCCCAGACGATCCAATGGACCCTAGGGACTTATTTCAACAAGGCTTTCAAAAGAATCATTTGCGTTTATATTTTTTTATATTCAGTGGGAGTCATTGCAGTAAACCTCGGGCTGAAAATAGATTAAATTATGATCCTCCTACACTCGTGACCCAAAATGGTTTCAGGAGACCTGGATCTACATGCCGGCTGGCCGCTTAGTCCGCACCGATGACAGCACCAGCGAATCGTTCCGAATGCGAGCTGAACGCAGTGTCGACAATGCTCTTCGAGATGCTTTGTGCAGTGAAGCGGGTCCTTTGGCAGCCGGCGCCATGCCGAGCGCCAAATGCGTGAACGAGGCTGGGCAGAAGCGGCTGTTTCAATCCTTGGATGATGCCAAGGCAACAGTGAAGAAGCCCAAGAGAGAGAAGATTGTCGAAGACAAGGCAACCGAAGATGTGAAGCCAAAGACGATGATCGAGTGGGGGTCTCAGTGTACACTGGTCTAAATTCAGGGACCTCTAGGATTTCTAGGATCCTTTGAGCATCTTTGAGCCGGTCTAAATTCAGGGACCTCTAGGATATTCTAGGATCCTTTGATATCCTTTGAGCATCTTTGAGCCTTTGAATCAAATCTCCAAACTCCTGGTGAAATTAAGAAATCTCTATCGGATCCTTTGATCATGTTTGATCTAAAGAATTAGATAATGACCTAAGCTTCAGGAACCTCTCTTGACCCTCTAGATTCTTCATCCTTTCCGGGCCAGATACCCGGTTCCAAGATGCTTCACCGTCATCTTCTCCTTGTCGTCGAGCGGCCCAGGTTGGCGCAAGATCGTTTGCCTCAGATTCTTGAGGAATCTACAAAGGCTCGGCAGAGGAGCATCCAGCTCAGTGGGATTGAGTTTGCCCAGGAGTTGGCGAAACAGTTGAAGCATCATGCTGAGAGCGTTGAGGGAAAGTACATGGAGCTGCAACAGTTGGTTGCCGCAGATCCCCCTGTCAAAGACAAGTACTTCCAAGACCTTTTCAACAAGATCGATCGCAATACCGCTTGGTTCACCAAAGCGCAGGCGACAGTATGTTGAAAGTTTGTTTCATGCTTCCCAAGTACGGTGTCCCAAAATATGTTAAACATTGTTGAACTCATCCCAACAACAAAACGCCAAGTGACAGATCTGTCTTCCTGCGCCCATCAGGCATCGGCTTCTGGACTCCTGAAGCAGTCCAAGTCCAAGAGCAGCAAGAGCAAGAAGGGAAAGAAAGATAAAGAAGAGAAGTCTGGCAGTGATAAGCCTGACGTCAAGAGTACGTGATCGGCTGTGTCTTTCACCGTTTAGATTTTGGCCAATCGGGGTGTGGCACCATGCGCAACTGTCGCATGCTTGTCTGGGGTCTTTAGAACGCCATGGACACATGGGAATGAGATTGGAAGAAACGAAGAGTCGTGCGCTTGTTTGGGGTCCTTCTCACTAAATGGAGATGTAGGAAAGAGATGTGAACTTCCAACTCATTAAACTAGAGAAGAGTTGTGTCATGTTGTGTCCTTGAAGCTTGAAAGCTTCAACTTGAGTACGTGCAAAACATCAAACAAGAGAACATGTTTTTCTTCCGTGGCCAGGTCACCTATGTGCCGGAAAACGCCAAAGGCTTGAATCACTGCCGGAGAGCCAGACTGTCAACAAACTACTTGAGTGTATCGGGAGAGGTGGGAGTCATATACAGACTGCTACTGACATCGCACGCGCTGTTCGATCTGACGGTTTGGAATCAAAGGCCTTGGCGGCTTTAACTAGTTGTGGGGCCCATGGAGTTTCAGACCAGAACACCGAGAGGGATTTACACCGTTGGTTGCGGGGCCTTTGGGGGTTTGAGCTGGAACCATACCGCATCGAGCTGGAACTCAGCGCAACTAGATCTTGATTGAGAAGTTTTCTAAAACATAGTGGTTTGTATGGTTTGTCAAAAACTCGTATGATGTCCAGAAAACTGTTCAGTACTTATGACACAGACTTGTGCATCTGGAGGTCAACAACGCCGAAGAGCCAACGTTGGTGGAAGCGTGGGTCATCCTTCCACATGAGATGCTCCATGCAGCAAGTGCGAGGAGTTTCCAGGTTCACACGTTTTGCAAAACAACCCATGCACTCTTCTTTACATCTCTTCGGTTCTTGTTAGTGATTATTTTCAAAACCCCTGGCAGTTTTCCTCGGTGTTGCTTGGCGGCTTCAGCAACAAAGCCATCCGGAAGTTCTGGGAGCACGTCAAAACATTGGAGGAATTCAAACATCACAGGGAACTACATGAGTTGTCCAGTGAAGATTTGGGGGTAACTATTCCCTGCACCATTCATGGAGATGGAGCCGAGATGTTCACCAACGAAGAGTTTTTCGTTTGGTCGTGGTCATCAGCGTTCACAGGGTTTGGCAGCGTGAAAGATCCTCTGATCCAAAAAATCCCCATAGCCATTGTAGCAGAAAGGGATATGATGCTCCCTGCAGTATCTTTGCTGAGCCCTGTATCTATTTTTTGAAGTGTTTATTGCGAACGCCGGTAATACCGCATATTTCTTCCACAGGCCCCATGCCTCATCCGTCTCAGGTCAGAAGAGGTGTGGAGAAAGCCATTGCCAATGTCACAGCCTGGTCGCTCAAGCAGGCTTGCCAGGGGGTTGCGCCATCGAGTGGTTTTTACCATGAGAGCTTCCCGAAGAAGAGCTTCAGATCTCAATTTGCTGGGAGTAAGTTGGCAAACGGTTACAAGTTCCTAGGCTCCATCATGGAAAGACTTTGAACATCTTTGAACCGTTTTTAGTAACATGTGGTTCTGGTGTGACAGCCAAATTTGGACCGGTAGCCTAGGATGATCTTTTTCTCCTTCAAGGCAGATTTGAAAGCACGCATGGAATGCAACTTCTTCTTCAAGCGCTACTACAAATGTAAGCAGTGCTGTGATCGCTGCAACGCGGTCGCCCCGACCACCAATCAACCTGACCCGTTGTCCTACAAGGACTTCTCCCCGCAAGCTGCTTACACCAGAACTTTGGTAACCCACGAGCAGTACATGCGTTCAACCCCTCCAGCTTTGATCTCACCGTGGGCCGCCGTGGGCGGTTGGCAGCTGGAAAGTGTTGGGTTTGATTGGATGCATCTCGTTTACCTTGGAGTCGCAAAGGACCTAGTGCCAAGCGCTCTGAGGCTCCTGAACATACTAGGATATGGATATGAACCAGGAGAGACTGATGCGAAGTTTCTCCAACGAGCTACCATGGAGATGCGGGAAAGCTGTAAGAACAAAGGGTTTTTTCGTAGCAATGCTAACTTCAGGGATTTTGTCTTTTGCCCAGTATTGTTTATACATGTTTATACTTTCTGTTCAATGACTATTTTGTGCCTTATGGGATTTGCTCAGTGCGTCTCAGGATTTATGTGCCGCGGCGTATCTTGACGCTAGCCAACTGCAACACGTGGGGGCATGAGGACTACGCGGAGCTTGGAAGCCGCTTCAAGGCATGCCATGTCAAGATCATGATCATGTGGCTCACCACCAAAGTTCAACAGCTTGCAGATGCCTCCGCCACTAGTCAGTCTACTAGTCTACAAATGTCTACAACGCAATCCGTTTCAACCCTTTTTGAAACCTTGTCCCAACCCCAAACGCCAATCCGGACATCTCGTGATCCCCAATTCGTCCCAGTCTCAGGATGAAAATGAGGACCCAATCTTGCAGATATTGGCCGCCAACATGTTTTCCTTGGCGCGCACCATCAAGATCATGGATCATGGAGGGCCTATTCTAACAACCTCAGAAAGAGATGATACTCTTCTGGATCATGAACCTTTTTAAATGGTTTTGGCCGGCGTGTACTCCCATATGTTCAATCCAACAGGTACTACTGCCGTTCCAACCGCCTGCCAAGGAAATGACTGAATGCCTGAAGGTTCATTTGCGCACGGCGCAGACCCTTGCGGCTTACTCGTGGACTGCTGGTTTCCAAATCTTTAAGTTGAGACCAAAGCATCACTATCTTTGGCATTTGAAGGAAATTGTTTCTTGTCAATCCTTGAATCCGAAGTGCTTTACATGCACTGACGATGAAAGTTATTTGGGGAAGCTGAAATCTGTGGCACGTCAGTGTCATGGATGTTCAATGCAGTACAGAGTGCTACAAAGAAGCATTCTGGCCCTTTCGCTTTTCTATCGAGAGGGTTAGGGGACCGACCACACACATGTTCTTAAAGGGCTTGAAAGGTTTTCCGCAACCCCAACTGATGTTTCCACATGATGGTCTACTCTACACTCACCAGGTACTAGAGGGAAGGGTGTTAAAAGGGAAGCCTGAGAAACAAGGCTTGGTGTGGTCCTTTCAACAAAGAGTTGAACTTGGCGAAAAAGCCAGGGCTCAGAAAGCAAGACAATGGGGCGCGCAAAAAAACGCGACATGGCCGGAAGGCCGCAGAAGCAGCATGAGAGGCGCCCACCCTTCAGTCAAAACTTGGTGTTATTCGGTGTTGTTGTGCGTTAAAACTGGTTTGTCTACCATGAGAGGTCTATAGTTTATTTTTCATGGTGCCCTCAAAAACTTGAGCAGCTCGATCCAGCGCGGGATGACAATGTTTTTTCCCTCACCCCCTCCAAGAACATCTTCCGCTGCAAACATGTACACACAGTGTGCGCACATATATATTTATAATATATAGTAACTAGTGGCTCAAATCCGACTTCGTGTGGGATGGTTGCAGAGAACGTCAAAACAAAGAGGCCTGTGACAATGTACTTGAGTGACTTGCGAACGCCACCGTACGGTGTCGTTTGTCAAAGCGTTTTTTCCGTTGTCGTTCGCCAAAAAAGGCACAAAAAACTACAAAAACGTAAAAACTAGAAACTATATACGGCAGTGTTTTTGAAAACCTTATTAACGGCAAGCTTTCCCAATTACAAACGACAGCTTCCGGTGTCGTGTCAGTAGCAGCCTGCAGTTTAAAACTTCATTACTAATAAACACCAATGAAGAAGGTCTTTTGTATACACATACAAAGGAAGCAGTTTCTGCAAACGACACCGTGCTATGTCGTTTGTTGAAACACGTGTCCCAGGGACAACGTTGGAGCGTCTAGGATAGTCGTAGTCGTAGTCGTGGTCGTAGTCCTGGTCGTAGTAGTAGTAGTCGTCGTCGTCGTAGTCGTAGTCCTAGTCGTAGTAGTAGTAGAAGTAGAAGTAGTAGTAGTATAGTATAGTATAGTATAGTATAGTATAGTATAGTATAGTATAGCATAGCATAGTATAGTATAGTATAGTATAGTACAGTACAGTACAGTACAGTACAGTATAGTATAGTATAGTATAGTATGTAGTAGTAGTAGTGGTAGTAGTAGTAGTAGTGGTTGTGGTAGTGGTAGTAGTAGTAGTAGCAGTAGTAGTAGTAGCAGTAGTAGTAGTAGTGGCAGTAGTAGTAGTAGTAGTAGTAGTAGCAGCAGTAGTAGTAGTAGTGCTGCGGTGGCAGTACTGTGGTGGTAGCAGCAATAGTAGTGCGCAGTTCGGGGCCCGACCTTCATAGCTCCGAACCTTGCAAACGTCCGGGGCCCCCAGTAGTAGTAGAAGTAGAAGTAGTAGTATTAGTATTAGTAGTAGTTGTAGTAGTAGTAGTCGTCGTAGTGGTAGTGGTAGTTGTAGTGGTTGTGTGTCTGTGTGTTTGTGGTTGTGTTTGTGGTTGCGTTTGCGATTGTGTTTGTGGTTGTGCTTGTGGTTGCGTCTTTGTCGTTGTGGCTGTGGTTGTGCTTGTGGTTGTGTGCTTGTGATTGCGTGTTTGTGATTGTCGCTGTGGTTGTGTGTTTGTGGTTGCGTCGTGGTTGTGCTTGTGGTTGCGTCTGTGTCGTTGTGGCTGTGGTTGTGCTTGTGGTTGTGTGCTCGTCATTGCGCGTTTGTGATTGTGGCTGTGGTTGTGTGCACGGTATTGTGACACAGGAACTTGGCATCTACATTGCCCACTGACACGAGGCCGAGATGAGTGTCCACTGTGACCTCGTGCGTCGGCGCCTGCCACGCAAATCACACCGGCAGAGCGGCGGAGACCCAGGGATGCCAGGGCGTACATCCGACCCCTTGGAGAGCACCAAGTGCTGCCCCTGCCACGCAAAGTTGGTGGTTGGTGGTTGGTGGTGGTTGGTTAATGGTTGGTGGTGGGTGGTTGGTTGGCGGTTGGTTGGTGGTTGGTTGGTGGTTGGTGGTTGGTAGTTGATGGTAGTTGGTGGTGGTTGGTTGGTGGTTGGTGGTTGGTGGTTCGTAGTTGGTGGTGGTTGGTTGGTGGTTGGTTGTTGGTGGTTGGTTGGTTGGTGGTTGGTCGTCGGTTGGTAGTTGGTTGGCGGTTGGTTGTTGGTTTGTTGGTGGTTGGTTGGTGGTTGGTGGTTCGAGGAGGAGGAGGAGGAGAAGAAGAGGAACAAAAGCCCCACACGTCAATGTGGGGAAAAACATCCAGGCAAGTTCAAACAAACCCGTTCAGCTCTTTCAAAAGCAACGCATCTGCAGCTCACACGTCGCACGTTCTTCCGGAACCTGCTGCGCCACCTTCGCAGCCTCCTCGGCCACGCGCGGCGGTGCGAGTCCTGCGCGGCGCGACGCGAGATCTGGGGAAGATTTGTTCAAGGCCTTGGCAAGGACGCTACTAGGAGCAAAGGGCATCGCTACTAGGAGCAAGGACGCTACTACGGGCTCCTGGCCGTACTACTAGTAACAAGAAGCTATCAGAAACAATATATAAATTAGAACTAAAACTAATTAGAATATAATTAGAATTTGTAAACACCCATTTTATATACCACTCTTTTTTGGGGGGGTGCACCCAAACTCTCTCTACAAGTCTTGCGTGAGGATCGTCGCAGATTCGATTGGAATACTACAGATTACAGAGTTGATTCTGTAGTATCAATCAATTGCGCATGGTCTATTCGACCAAGCTGGAGCAACTTTCTTCCAATGTATCCGGACTTCTGATAAGATTCCTGAAAGCTGGTGGGGCTAAGGAAGGCTGCGTCCCCGCCACCAAAAACAACATCTTGTGCTCCCCTCAATCCACCAGGACTTTGATGTGAGTGAGTGCTTGCTTCTAAAGCACTGGATCCCAAGCAAAACACACAACGGTACCCAAACACACAACTTTGCTCCTAGTAGCGATGCCCGCGAACATTGCTAGTAGTAAGGCCAGGAGCCCCACTTTCGTAGCGTCCTTGTTCCTACCCGAACTTGGGAGCCACACCAATTGCCAACACTTGGAATCCCCGTCATGATGGTCCCATCAGCCGGTCGTCAAACCCGCTCCAGTGGCCGCCAGCCGTACCACCAGGGCTGCTGCGGCTGCCTGGGCGGCCAGTGGGGCGCGCTCCTCGCTCAAAGCCAGGCCTGCGCAGCGGAAGCTCAGCGGTGCTCCGTCGCCGCGTGGAAGCGAATTGGACAAGGAGAACTGCTTTTTTGGATCCCCCGAGGGGGAGGACGTGGGAAAATGTAGACATGGACAAGTTACATTTAGGCACATACCACGTACCTGGTAGGTACCTTTAACTAAGCCAGGTAGGTCTGAAAAATACGAAAAGGCTGGTTGGAGCAACGAATTTTCCACTTCCAGGGCTCGGCAGGGTATCGGGGCTTCGCTTTCGGACGGCTTAGCCCGTATATAACACCTTTCGAGACCGAGATCGGAGAAGGAAAGGGTTGAACTTGCTGTTGTCCTTCATGTTTCTTCCTTTTTTGAAGTTCAGTCTGATGATGTCAAGAAACCAGACCTTGAAGGAAGGAATCCCATGGCTCCTGAAAGCAAAACACCCCGACTCACCTCTACGGACGGTGCGTTCTCGGCGTTCTCGCTGGGGGTTCCAGTCAGCATACAGTCACAACACATGTCACAGAATAGTTAAACATTACACACGCGGCGTACCAATTTGTAACTTACATCTAAAAAAATATAAGCTTAAGATTGTAGAGGGGGGACCTCCCTAAATGTTAGCTACATTTTTCATACACCCCCCTCCCCCTATCAAAACGTATGGACCATGTAGCTGACATGTTCCCACGTCCCCGCTGATTTTTCTACAAAAGAAGGGGTGGGGATCTTTTTGGACCCTGGAGCAGGCTAAAATACAACTTGTGTTGATGATGTTGTTACATGTGATTCGGGAGGCCTGGATGACATGCTGGAGGACAACACTGCGGCATGGAGCGCTATGCAAAAGCCCACCCACGAATCCGGTGCATCGATGGGAGGATAGTAGCTTCTTGTTCCTAATAGCGATGGCCTCCACCTAGTCGCTTCGGGGATATAGCTATTCAGCTGCGGGAGTTCATTTAGGAAATTAAACCTCTTTCTGCACCAGCTATATAAAACTTTTCGGAAGAGAGAATCAGTGGCTGACACTTGGCCTTTGATTTCTCCAAAATATTCTAAATCCACCGGGCCT